AAGAATATAAAGACTTATCCCAGTGGAATGGGCAGATGAGACAAATTTGTTCCAATGGCCATGAAGGTGGATGAAGTAAGCACTGTGGAGTGGTAAGCGCTTGGTCAGATATTGAAGATGCCAACGTCATCTGCTGCATCCCAGGTCATTGCCAGTTGTCTTGACTTTTGTCTTGCCACTGGAATTCAATAATTCTGGAAGAAGTAGTGGGGCTGACAACTTTGTGCAACTTTGCCTCACTTAAATCTACTTCACAAACAAGTCAAGATACTACCCCATGATGTCATTGGCCCTCTTTAAAAACAAAGGATCAGGAACAACAACAACAGTCATAATCATGACCTTGTTGGAGGAAAGATCAAAAGCAATATCAAGCAAAAAGAAATTATAAAAATGATAAGATAATGAATGAAATGAAAAGAACTCCAACCTGACCTATTTAAATAAACAACTGATACCAAAAAGATGAAAAAAGAATAGTCAACCAATAAGCTTTATTAAGTGTATGCTACATATCAATGTATCAGGCACTGTACCAAGTGCTGGAGATATAAAAAAAAAGTCAAAAAGAAAGTCTCTGTTCTCTAGAAGCTTACATTCTAATGGTGGCGACAGTATGCAAATAACTATGTACAAACAAGATCTATCTTCTATCCATCTAGCTATTATGTACACAAATATATGTATACATATATAATATATACATGTATGTATGTATATATTTGACATTATCTCTTTATATTTTTATATTACCTTCATATATATGAAGTTATTTTCATTTGATATTACCTTCATCCACAAATATACTACTTCATATATGTGTGTGTGTGTGTGTGTGTGTGTATATATATATATGAAAACAAAAGCTACATATGAAGGTAATATAAAAATGTCTATATGTATATATATGTGTGTGTATATACATACATATAGGTGTATGTATTGTGCATAAATATATATACACGCATACATATAATAACAAAGAGAAGGAACTTAAAGAGAAGGGATATATTGGGACAGGCTTTTTGCAGAAGATGGGACTTGAATATGAGATGATTTGAAAAATAGGAAGGAGCCAGGAATTTAAATGCTAAATAGGGAATTTTGTAATTGATCCATTGAAAAAAAATTATCATTATTTCCTAAGGAAGTTTAACTGACATTCATTAGAGGCCACAAAGAAAAGACCAAGCCAACCTAGAAATGCACTCAAAAGCAAATATTTGTTGTCCTTACCCAGAGGAGACATAGGAAAGAGAAATGTAATTTATAGTAATATATAATAATTTTTTATTTATAGTATTTATGGTAAAAATGGGTTTATAATTTATAGTAAAATTATAGTAAATTAGTAAATATAATAAATTATAGTTAAATTATAGTAAAATAATTTTTAAATGGGTTTATAATTTATAGTAAAAATGGGTTCATAAAACTTTACTAAAGATAACAGTGGAAGAGTATAAGCATTACTATCTCATAAAAAGCAAGAAGCTGTTAAGGGAAAAACAAGGCAAAGGAAATTAAAGATCCATCTAAGCAAAAAGCTTCTCGGGGCATTTAAGTATGAAACTGGAAGGTTACCTTTTTAAGTGAAACCTGAAGAGAAAAGGAAGTGACAGCTAAATGGAATAATGGCTCACAGGAACTTCTTGGAAAGGGAAATGAATAATAAACAGTAGAGAAATTTTTATTATGCATTTAAACACCAAAAACTTCATTGGGCAGCTACGTGGTGCAGTGGATAGAGAACTGGACCTGTAGTCAAGAAGACCTGAGTTCAAATCCAACCTCAGACACTATCTGTGTGAGCCTGGGCAAGTCACTTAAACTGTTTTTCTCAGCTTTCTCATCTGTAAAATTAGCATAATAATACCTCCTAGGATTGTTGTGAGGATTTCATGAGACAAAAATGTTAAAGAGCTTAGAACAATGTCTGGTACATAGTAAGCACTACAATTAGCACTCAAAAGACATTCCAACCCCATTTGGTTAAAAATGCAAAATTAAAATGGACAGATGTTTATAACAAACTCTTCTCCATTAAGAAGAGAGTAGCACAACCAGCTCCTTTTGAGTCTAACATCATAATGCTGACAGAAGTAGAAATGACCCTAAAAATAAAAAGGGTATAAATAGATGGACTAAACTGAATAGACATAGAGGAGGTCTATGCTAGAATTAACACTATTTTGAGGGTGTTAAGGGATTGATTCTTAAGGTATTTGAAAGAAGGGAGGATACTAAAGTTTCGGCAAAAATCTTAGATCTTATAGTTACTAATCAAAATGATGAAGAAAACATTCCACAAACCCGTATGTCTAATTTCTCATCTCTAAAGCCTCTATGAGGAAGTCTGCAGAAGAGGCAGTTATGGTGTAGGAGATATAGCGACAACCTTGGAGTCAGGATGACATAAGTTCAATTTTGACCTCTGACCCAGCCTATGTGATCCAAGTTCTGTGACCTTGGGCAAGTTACCCTCCTAATGACCAAAGACAACTCTCTAGCATTGTAAATTCTAGAGCAGGTGCTTATCTGAATTAGTAGAGGGAGTTTTGTTAATGGTAATACTTCATACCAATGAAATTCCAGGTATAGTCCTAAATCTACATATGCATCAAAAGGCATCCTTGATGAAAGAATGACAAGTTCTCCCAATAATACTCTTCAATTTACAGGCACATTTACTTAAAAGTATAGTAAGTACAAGATCACAATATGCTTTTTTTTTTTTTTTTTTTTTTTTTACCATATAGAAGCATTAGATTTGGTAGAACAAAACACTGCCTTAAAGGCTTTCCAGTGTGTCCTGATCCTATGTGAAAATCACACAAGATTCCTTATAAAATGGAACAAAAGATACAACTTTGATGAATCTCTGCTTATTAACATCAAGCAAGGCAATGTTTGCCAATGGTATTTGACATCAATATAAAGAATTCTAGTGTGGAATCAAATATGTAATATCTCTTAAAACATGGATTTTTACAATCTGTGGAAAAGAAATATCGATCATGACTTTATCAGAGATAACCTATAAAGATTTCCAGGTATTGAGATAGAAATAAGGGGAACCAGAAGTGAAAGAACATAATAATGAGTGGCAAGGCATAGGAGGAAAATACATTTCTTGGGAACCTTTGGTTGGTTTCAGAAAGAAATTAAAGGCTACCACAGGGGTGGAGGCTTCTTTCCAGGGTTCCAGAACTTTACAGAGTACAAAAATGTAACATGTACTTAGAAACAACTGAACTCATCACCCAGTTTCCAAGAAGAGAAAAGTTAACTGGTCTCTGCCTCAGTTTCCTCCTATATAAAGTAGGATATAACAATGTTATCTATTTCACAGTTATATTTCAGTAGAAAGAGTACTAGACTTGTAGTCACATGACTAGAATGCAAATCTTGGCTCTTATACCTAACTGTGACTGTGATATTGGTCAAATTCTTTTAATTTCTCTGAGTTTCTGTTATCTGAGAAGATTTGATTAAATGAACTATAATTTCCTTTCCAGTTCTGGATTTGTGATCATTTAGTCTATAATCTTAGGTATCTAGTCCAACCCTTCATTTACAAAGAAAACTGATAGTCAAGTAAACAGTAGCCAGTAAGCAACAGTGATGGCATTCCACAGTGGAGTAGAAAGGATATTGGACTTGGAATCAAAAAGACTTAGGTTCAAATCCAACCTCAAATATTGAGAAAGTCACTTATCTTCTCAGTACCTCAGTTTTCTCATTAGTAGAAAAAATGAAGTCAGCCTTTTTTTTTTAATTTAACATTCATTTTCTTTTTAATTTTGAGTTTCAAATTCTCTCCCTCCTTCCTGCTTCTCCCTGACCCATTGGGAAGGGAAGTAATATGATAGCCATTATACATATGAAGTCATGCATAATATATTTTGATATTTGCCATGTTGCAAAAATAAAAAGCAAAATAATTAAGGTGAAAAAAGTATGCTTCAATCTTCACTCAGGTCATTAGTTCTTTCTTTGAAGGTGAATTTCATTTTTCATTATGAGTCCTTTGGAATTATCATGGAACATTTTACTGATCAGAGTAGCTAAGTCTTTCTCTTCATCATTGTCAGAATATTGCGGTTACTATGTACAATGTTTTCCTGATTTTGTTCACTTCACTTTGCATCATCAGTTTATTTAAGTTTTCACTAGTATTTCTGAAACCATTGCCTTTGTCATTTCTAATACCACAATAATGTTGCATCATATATACTACAACTAATTTAGTCATTTCCCAAATGATGAGCATATCCTCAATTTCTAATTTTTTGCCACTACAAAAAGCATACTACATGTACAAAAATATTTTTGTATATAGAGATCATTTTCCCTTTTCTTTGATCTTCTTTGGGATACCAACCTAGTATGATATTGCTAGGTCAAAGGATATGCATAGTTTGATAGTCCTTTGGGCATTTGGAGGAGAGCTCAGGGGAATCCCTCCCTTTACTCTGCCATCCTGACTCTGCTTCTGCTTTGGGTTTATCTTCAAATTCCTCTCCAGAATAGTTGGACCATTTCATAACTCCATCAATAGTGCATTAATGTCCCAATTCTTCCATCTCCCCTCCAGCATTTGTCATTTTCCTTTTCTGTCATTTTAGCCAATCTGATAGGTGTGAGGTAGTATCTCAGTGTTGTTTTAATTTGCATTTCTCTAATTTAGAGTGCTTTTACATAACTATTGATAACTTTGATTTCTTATTCTGAAAACTGTACATTCATATCCTTTAAAGGAATCAATCTTGATAATCTTTAAAGATCACAGAAGCTATAAAGGTATGCTGCTTTGATGCTCTGACTTCTCTTTCTACTACACCATGCCAACTCTGAGTGCCTTACTTGTAATAATTCACAAGCATATCACCATTTTTATGGACACAATCATTATTTTGATTATCAGTATTATCAATAATTTTCCAAAATACTGAGATTGGCTCTGATTTGTCCTGGGGTTTTATGTGGGTATCTTACAGATCAGTTTTTCCAGACCTCCCCCTGGAGTAACGCTTTCCTTCTGATGATGTTTCTCATCTTGGCTGCCCTTGTTTTTCTCATTTTTGACTACTATAATAAAGGTAATGGGAATGAAGAGGGGAGGGTACCGCAAAACTCTTTGTGACTTTTTACTATTGCAATGCATTTCTTTTATTCATTTTGTTTTTCTCTTTGGGTCTTAACCATACCTGGGGAAATGGCTTCTGGGATAGACTCATTCTCAGATATAGTTTTATTTCTTGCCATTGGATTTGGTTTCCTTAAAACATTCTCCCTTTCTTCAAATCTTAATCTGTCCAAGTTATGTTTCACACATAGTTTTGTACTTCTCTCTTTTTTTTTAGAAAAAATTAAGAAAAAGCTGGGTAAGTTTTATTTTATTATTTTGTACCAAGTTTCTTTTGGGGAAGCTCTATTTCTCAATGTTATCTCATCTCTGATTCATTGTTTTTAGACTTAAAGAAAAAAACAAAAGAGGCAGGTAAGAGAACAACTTCCCTCTGTCAATTTCTCCTTTCCCACTTCCACCCACATCATATTTTCATCTCCTCCCTAGTTTCCAGCCTCTTTTCCTTCCCTGCCCTTCCTTGTACCCAGTCCCAAAAATAACATTTAGCTCTCTGTTTTCAGAATGGATGGAAGCCACTGAATATTCAGGTAACTAAAACTGTTTTTTTTTTTCTTATGGTCTTGCTTTCCATCTCTTCCCAGCCCAAACACATCTCCTGCTCTCCTGCTACTTCCTCTTCCATTATCCCTGGCTCCAAAATAAACAGGTTGGGGAGGAATGCTGGTATTTGTGGCCCAAGCCTTCATTGTTGGAAAAGGGTCACTAGAGCAAATGTGGTATGGGGCCAGTCTGTAGGTCAAATGAAAAGCTCTATTTGAGTTGGAAGAGGACAATGGAAGAAAGCTGTGCTGGGTTAAGGGACAGAATTGTTTATTAGTGTCATTATCATCTGGAGTTATTGGGTAATTCAAGAGTATATTGTATATTTTCTAATCAATTAATAACACTACATCCTCTTTCTCATGATTTTTGAGGCTTCGACTCAGATAATTAGATATTATTTAATAATATGGAAAAACATCTTTCTCCATAAGCAGTTGTTTACATTTCTTTATATGCAAGATAAAATTTATATTAAAATTATTGAATATCCTATCTGTTAACAATAGAATCAGCAATAAAACAGACATAGATAATTATTGCAATATATTAACTGTGATAAATATCACAGTCAGAGTCATCACATACCAACAGTCTATTGGTAGATGACTTCTCTTCATTTCTGAGAACATAGTCCTATACAATTCATTCAAGATGCCAAATAAAGCAACATGTGAAGACACAGGAAAATCTGAAAAATTTTTCATCTTTTTCCTAAGATAAAGATTAAAAAGTTTCCATCAAGAAAGAATGCCTCTCCATCTTCTTTCTCTCTTTCCTATCCAATTATCTCTGGTCATGCCAGAAATGCAATCTCTTCAGCCCCTCTCATGTCATCACTCTGAAGGGAATCTCCAGACTTGTTCCTCAAAAAATTATCTTTATAATGGTTCTTTATGAAATAACAGTTGGTGGTCCTAACAAGAAAGAAGTTTCTCATCTTCTTTCTGTTTCTCCCATAATTTATCTCCATAAATCTCACATATTAAAAATAAAACCACATATTCTCTCTGATTCTATAGAGAAAAGCATCTCATAGAATAACAACTACAATTGTTTCAGACTTCTATGCTCTTAAAAAAGCAATAAGTATCTATGGACTCTTTCAGACAGGTTTTTGAAATAAGTGTTATATTGGCAGTAAAAGTTTTTAACCTTGTGTCCATGAAATTGTATTTTTAAAAATGCATTGATAACTATTTCAATATAAATTAGTTTTTGTAATGATATGCATTTTATTTCATGCATTAAAAATATTAGGAGAAGGCATCCATAGGATTCACCAGACTACCAAAAGTTAAAAACCCTTGAGTTTCATGGTCCCTGATGTCTCTTCCCTCAAGAAGTTTTTGGTCTCTTTTCTTTTGATCCTTCTTTCCACACTCTCTTCATGCAGAAATTACTTGTAGAGGAGTCTCAAGTTTTTAATTGTTCTATATTACTGAACAATTAATTTTAGGGAAGAGAAAGGCAGTCAATAATAGCTAAAGGGAATATTTGGGCATATGTTTTCAAGTATGCAATAATCACAAAGGATAAGGTAGGAGAAAAAAAGCTGGTGGAAGAAATGGTCAGCAGAACTCATCTGAGACCAATATCACTTGGCCTCAATTGGAAAAACTGTCTTATTCTCATCTCTCTCTCTTCCTCTCTCCTCCCCTAATTTCTCTTCCTCTTATTCTTTATCTCTTTCCTTTGCTTTTACTGCTGTATTCTCTCCCTTTCCGTTATCATCACTTCTCTGGCTTTCTCGGTGTCTCTGTTTCTCTCTTTCTCTCATTTGCCCTCTTTTTATCCTACTTCCTTTCCTTACCCCTTGTTCTATTATTCTCATTTCTTCCTTTTGTATTTTCTTTCTTTCTCCTCCCAGTGGAAGTTACTCTGGATCCAGATACTGCTCATCCCAAACTCCGTGTATCTGAAGATCAGAAATCAGTGACCTATGAAGACACAGAGCTTCCAGTGCTTGAAACTGAAAAAAGATTTGAGTTTCCATGTGTGGTGGCTTCACAAAGTTTTTCCTCAGATCAACATTATTGGGAGGTGGAGGTTGGGGAGATGAAGAGGTGGTACTTGGGAGTATGCTGGGATGGTGTGAAAAGGAAGGAAAGGGAAATCACATTCTCCCCTGACAATGGCTACTGGGTTTTGGGGGTGTGGAATGAATATGAGTATTTTGTATTCGACCCCACTAGAAAGGCCCTCACTCTCTTAGTACAGGCCCGTAGAATAGGAGTTTTCCTAAGCTTTGAGGCCAGGGAAGTCTCTTTCTTCAATGTGACTGAAAAATCACACATCTACACATTCACTAATTGTAGTTTCCATGGGAAAGCCCTCTACCCATATTTTTGTCCTCGTAAAAGTGCCAATCCTGAACATTCAATCCCCATGTCAATTTCTCCTGTGTTAACTGTGCTTTATAGAGATATTTCTCAGATCAGTAGTGATGATGTTCCTAGCCCACAGACAACACAATGTCTCCTTTCTGGCATCTCTTGTCACTCCAAGAGACTTTAATCCATATTTGCTTTAGTGTTTTCAAGGTTCTTTTCCCAGAACTCCCTTCTTGGTTGCAGGGACCCAAGCACTTTTTGAAAGTGTAACTTAGTAGCAAAAGAACTGGATTTTGAGTGGGAGGACTTTGGTCCTGGCCATATGCTATTTGACTTTAGAAAAGACAAATGACAACTCTTCCAAACTTCAGCAGCTATTCCAATCCATATCCTTTCTCCTTTATATTCCAACACTTCTTCCTTCCTCTCCCCTTAGCAGAGAGTCTCAACTCCTACTTGGGGGAAGGTCATTGACAATGTTTGCACCTCCTGAGATACTACAGAGAATGTTCTGGAATATAGATAAATGTACTTAATGCATCATAGTTGATGTGTTGAGGATGGGGTAGAGATTGAAATAGGAAAAACAGGAAAGTTCCCTTGATCTTCTGACCTTGGATCACTTCTAGTGGGAAATATAAGTTATGGCTCAGCTCTGAAAGGTTCTACATTTTGAGATGGTGCAGAAAAGAGCTGGGTGGTCCATTGGCCCATCTCTTCCATGATGTAGGTTATGTGGTTTTACATCAAACCTGCATCAAGAAAGACTGGCCATTGATCCAGGCAAAAGCAGCCTACACTCAGTAGACTTGAAAGGAACAACTCTAACTTATGAAGCTTTCAATTTCCAGAACATGTGACAATTAATTCTCTCTGTCTGCCTCTCTGTCTCTCTCCATCTCTGTGTCTCTGTCTGTTTCTGTCTCTATCAAGCTATTCTGCCCCCCCCCCCCCCCCGCCTATTTCTGGAACTTTCTATGATGGATGAAGAAGAAACACCATCGTCTGGCAGTAATGACAACTTCAAATACAGGTGCTGCCTAAGGAAGCCTGAATTAGGTTCTCAAGCTGGCTGCCTTTTCTGTTGTAGTTCTCACCTGAAGAGTGATCCTGAGAGATGGACTTTTCAGAAATGTCTACCTTTGGAGTTTGGGAATTCCTGGGTTCTTCAGGTGATGCCTACTGTACTTTAGGAGGAGAGTTAAATCGCTACTATAACATTTAGTGGAGAAGATGATCACTAATAGGAGAAGCACCCTAACTCCTGACCTGTCTGGCCAGAATACAACTTTCATGAGGAATCTGTTCAGATATCAGAGTCAAGGAGAAGGAAAAATGTGTTATTTAACTGAATATAGGACAGCGATCCTGTAAAATATTTCATGTTTGGATACCTTAGATATCAACATCTCAGAGGAGTACAACAGTGCAACAGTAGTCACAAGTTATTGCCTCATGATTACATCTTTATTAACATGTGCTTTGGGGTTATTTGTGGTTTATGCATTTCTTTTGTACAGAGTAAATAAATAGTTGTCCTCTATCTGATCTACATAGTATTTTGGAATGCCTTTCTATACTCCTTTGTTGGGGCAACTCTAAACATGAGCCATATCCAAATATTGGGAGTTGAAGTTCTGAAAACCAGAAAGAATGTCTTGACTTGCAATTGAAAACTTATCTCCTGCACTCCCAGGGGAGAGCACTACACTGAAGTGGCTCAGTGTGATGTTTTAGGAGAGGTCAAGTATCACACTTCATTCTTTCCTCCTTTGGTACAGTCTTCAATGAAGAAGTGTCACTTCTTTTTAAGGCTAACCCCTTGACTTATGCACTTGATTCCATTCCATCTCTGAGACCTTGTTGTCTCACTAACTATATTTTTCTCATTTTCAATCTCTTCTTATTCACTGTCTCCTTCTTTGTCACCTATAAATATGCCCAAGTTTCTCCATCCTTAAAAATCCTTCATTTAAAACTATTGTTTCTTCAACTATCATCTCACATCTCTTCTTTCTTTCACTGTCAAACTCCTAGGAAAGACCATTTATGCACATTGCCTTGGATTTCCTCTCCAGATCATTCCAAGCTATTAATTTTGACACTATTCTTACCCTTCTCTACAATACTTTGGCATTGATTGTTATTAGACTGTTCTTTCCACCTTATTCTATATGTCTTTATAGACTCTCAGTTGCTTGAGTTCCCTCTTTATCCATAGCATCTTTTCATACAATGTCCTCTTTGGAATTGTTACTTTGTTTTCTTTTCAAAATTTAATTCATGAGCTCTTCAAATTCCTCCTTTTCTGTCTTCTGTAGAATTTTAGTCAGGGAAATATTCTCTATCTTACATTACATCCTTTGAAATGTCCTTTCCAAAGCAAGTTACTTACTTCCTGGGAGAAGGAGATGGACTCAAAATTCAGAAAGAGACATACTTGTTTTTTTTTTAATCACAGTCACTGTGTGGATTTTTTTTTTGTCTATGCTTCTTTGTTAAAGGGTTGGATTTTTTTTCTCTCCATTTTAATTTTGGGAGTGGGTTTGAGAGGGAGAAGGGTTAGCAATAATGATTATTTTTTAAATAAGAATTTAATTTTTCCCCAAATACATATTAAGAAGTTTTGAACATTTATTTTTACAAGACTTTGAGTTCCAAATTTTTCTCCCTCCTTCCCCTTCCCTCTTCTGAAAATGGTAGGCAATTTGACATAGTTTATACATATGCTATCATGTAAAATGTATTTCCATATTCATCACAATTGTGGAGAAGAAACAGATCAAGAGGAAATAAAACCATGAGAAAGAATAAAGCAAGTGAAAAAAATATGCTTCCATCTACATTCAGAATCCATCAGTTCTTTATGGATATGGACAGCATTTTGTACTTGTCTTGGATCATTGTGTTGCTGAGAAGAGCTGAGTCATTCATACTTGATCATCACATGATGGTGCTGATACTGTGTACAATGTTTTCACGGTTCTGCTCATTTCACTTTGCATCAATATGTACAAGTCCTTCCAGGTTTTTCTGAAACCTGCCTGTTCATCATTTCTTATTGTATAATAGTATTCCATTACATTCATATAGCACGGCTTGTTCAGCCATTCCCCAATTTCAGGTATCCCCTCAATTTCCAGTATTTTGCCACCACAAAAAGGATTGCTTAAATATATTTGCACATGTAAGTACTTTTTGCTTTCTCATGATCTCTTAGGGCTACAGACCTAGTAGTGGTATTGCTGGATCAAAGGATATACACAATTTGATTGCCCTGTAGACATAGTTCCAAATTGCTCTCCAGAGTGCTTGGATCAGTTCACATTTCCACCAACAGTGCATTAGTGTTCCAATTTTCCTACCTCTTCTCCAACATTTATCATTTTCCTTTTTCTGTCATGATAATCAATCTGATAGGTGTGAGATAGTAGCTCAGAGTTGCTTTAATTTGCATTTCTCTAATCAAAAATCATTTAGAGCACTTCTTCATATATGATTTCTTTACCTGAAAACTGCATGTTCATAACCTTTGACCATTTATCAATTGGGAAGTGGCTTGTATTCTTGTAAATCTGACTCAGTTCTCTATATGTTTGAGAAATAAGGCCTTTATCAGACACTTGTTGTAAAGATTGTTTCCCAGCTTTCTGCTTTTCTTCTAATCTTGGTTGCATTGTTGTTTTTTGGTTTGTTTGTTTGTTTGTTTTTGTACAAAAGCTTTTCAATTTAATATGATCAAAACTATTTTATACTTTGTAATGCTCTCTATCTCTTATTTGGTCTTGAATTCTTCCCCTATCTGATAGGTACCATTCATTGCTCTTCTAATTTGATTGTTTCATTGTCTATGGTATCTTTTAGCAAGATTTAGTTTCCTTTCTTATCTCTTTTAATTAGGTATATTTTCACTGTTACTTTGTCTAAGATCAGTATTACTACCCCTGTTTTTTTTTTTTTACTTCAGCTGAAGCATACTAGATTCTACTCCAGCCCCTTACCTTTACTTTGTGTCTCTTTTTGCTTCAAGTATGTTTCTTGTAAGTAACATATTGTGATCTACTCAGCTATCTGCTTCTGTTTTATGGGAGAGTTCATCCCATTCACATTCACAGTTATGCTTACTGTGTATTTCTCACCATCCTATTTTTCCTCATATTTGTCCTCCCTCTTCTTTCACCCTTTCCCATCTCACCAGTGTTTTGCTTCTGTCGATCACTTCACCTGATCTGTCCTCCCTTATGTCAGTCCCTCCCCTTCACCTTTGCTTAAACTCCTCCCCTCCTACTTCCTTGTCAGGGAAGATAAATTTCTATATTCAACCGATTGTATATATTATTCCCTCTTTGAGACAATACTGAGGCAAGTAAGGTTCAAGCAATGCCTATCGCCTACTGTCCCAACTTCCTCTCTGTAATAGGTCTTTCTCACCTCTTCATTTGAGACAGTTACCTCATTCTTCCTCTCCGTTTCTTCTGCACCCTTTGTACTCCTCTTTCTCATCCCTTAATTTTTTTTTGTCATTCACTCAAATACACCTTTATCCTCTGTGTATACTCCTTTTTTTTCTGTACTGTAAGTGATACAATTTTGAAGAGTTACAAGTATCATCATCCTTCTATGTAAGGATGTAAATAGTTTAGCTCCATTGAACCTCTTATGTTTTCTTTTCCCTTTTTTACTTGTTTATGCTTCTCTTGGGTTTTGATATTGGAGGTCAGATTTTTGGTTTAGTTCTGGTCTTCTCATTATGAAGGCTTGAAATCCTCCTATTTCACTGAATGACCATTTTATTCCTTGATGTATTATACATAATTTTGCTGGGTAAATGATTCTTGATTGTAGTTCTAACTCCTTTGCCCTCCAGGATATCATGTTCCATGACCTCCAATCCTTTAATGTTGCAGCTGCCCCGTCCTGTGTGATCCTGATTGTGACTCTCCTATATTTGAATTGTTTCTTTCTGGCTACTTGTAGTACTTTTTCCTTGATGTGATAGTTCTGAAATTTGGCTATAATGTTCTTTGGGGTTTTTATTTTGGAATCTCTTTCCTGAGATGATCTGTGGATTCTTTCAATACCTATTTTGCCCTCAGGTTCCAGGACATCAGGGCAGTTTTCCTTAATAATTTCTTGAAAGATGCTGTCCAGGTGCTCCTTTTGATTGTGGCTTTCAGTTAGTCC